CTTCATCAGCTTATCTGTGAGGATGTTATGAGTGACAGTGTCAAAATTCTCACTAAAGAGAAGATAAGTGACATCTGCTGCTCTTCCCTTATCCACCAAGCCAGTTATCTCATTGTAGAAGGCTATCAGGTTGGTCAAGCACAATTTCCCCATCGTAAATCCGTGCTGACTACTCCCAATCACCTTCTTGTCTTTCCTGTGTCTGGAAACGGTGCTCAGGATTAGTTGCTCCATCATCTTCCTGGGGATTGAGGTGAGGCTGTCCAGCCTGTAGTTTCCCAGATCCTCCTCCTCGAAGACAGGAGAGATTTGCTTTCTTCCAGTCCTCAGGAATGTCTCCTGATGGCCATGACCTTTCAAAGATTATCGAGAGTGGCCTTGCAGTGACATTGGCCAGCTCCCTCAGCACTTACAGGTGCATCCTGTTACGTTCCCACACGTTCATGTCCAATTTGTTCAAATATTCCCTAAACTGATCTTCTATGACCTTTCAAAGATTATCGAGAGTGGCCTTGCAGTGACATTGGCCAGCTCCCTCAGCACTTACAGGTGCATCCTGTTACGTTCCCACACGTTCATGTCCAATTTGTTCAAATATTGCTCGGGACTGTGTCCAGTCGCGTCTTAAATATCTCCAAGGATGAGGACTCCACAACTTCTCTGGGCAACTTGTTTCAGTGTTGTCTTATGTTCAGATGGCATCTCCTGTGTTTCAATTTGTGCCCGCTGCCTTTTGTTCTGTCAATGAGAAGAGTCTGGCTCCATCTTCTTTACACCCTCCCATGAGATATTTATTCACATTGATAAGATCCCGCCCCCGAGCCTTCTCTTCTCCAGGCTAAACAGTCCTAGCCCTTTGAGCTTTTCTTTGTATGAGAGATGCTCCAGCCCCTTGGTCATCTTTGTGACCCTTTACTGGACTCACTCCAGCAGGTCCATGTCTGTCTTGTACTGTACAGCCCAGAAGTGGACACAGCTCTCCAGGTGTGGCCTCACCAGTGCTGAGTAGAGGGGAAGGATCACCTCCATCAAACTGCTGGTGATGCTCTTCCTAATGCAGCCCAGGATACTGTTGGCTTTCTTTGCCATGAGGCTGCATTGCTAGCCCATATTCAACTTGTTGTCCACCAGGACCCTCGTGTCCTTCTCTTTCCAGCTGCTTTCCAGCCAATCGACATCTGGCCTGTACTGGTGCATGGGGTTATTTCTGACTGAGGCAGGACTTTGCACTTCCCTTTGTTGAACTTGATGAGTTTTCTCTCTGCCCATTTCTCCAGCCTGTTGAAGTTCCTCTGAATGATGGCACAACCATCTGGTGTATCAGCCGCTCCTCCCTTTTGTGTCCTCAGCAAACTTGCTGAGGATGCACTATGTCCCATCAGCCAGGTCATCAGTGAAGATGTTAAGCAGTACTGGAGCCAGTACTGACCCCTGGGATACCCACTAGTGACTGGCCTCCAGGTGGACTTTATGCCGCTGATCACAACCCTCTGAGCTCTGCTGTCCAGCCAGTTTTCAATCCACCTCAGTGTCCGCTTATCTAGTCTGTACTTCATCAGCTTATCTGTGAGGATGTTATGAGTGACAGTGTCAAAATTCTCACTAAAGAGAAGATAAGTGACATCTGCTGCTCTTCCCTTATCCACCAAGCCAGTTATCTCATTGTAGAAGGCTATCAGGTTGGTCAAGCACAATTTCCCCATCGTAAATCCGTGCTGACTACTCCCAATCACCTTCTTGTCTTTCCTGTGTCTGGAAACGGTGCTCAGGATTAGTTGCTCCATCATCTTCCTGGGGATTGAGGTGAGGCTGTCCAGCCTGTAGTTTCCCAGATCCTCCTCCTCGAAGACAGGAGAGATTTGCTTTCTTCCAGTCCTCAGGAATGTCTCCTGATGGCCATGACCTTTCAAAGATTATCGAGAGTGGCCTTGCAGTGACATTGGCCAGCTCCCTCAGCACTTACAGGTGCATCCTGTTACGTTCCCACACGTTCATGTCCAATTTGTTCAAATATTCCCTAAACTGATCTTCTTCCACTGAGGGTAAATCTTCCTTGCTCCAGACTTTCCCGCTGGTCTCAGAAGCCTGAGATTCCTGAAGACCGGTGAGAATCTTCAGATTCCTGAAGACTCAGTCTTCTCCATGTCCTTTGTCACCAGGTCCCCTGCGCCATTCAGCAGTGGGCCCATGTTTTCCCTGGCCTTCCTGTAAATCTTCCTTGCTCCAGACTTTCCCGCTGGTCTCAGAAGCCTGAGATTCCTGAAGACCGGTGAGAATCTTCAGATTCCTGAAGACTCAGTCTTCTCCATGTCCTTTGTCACCAGGTCCCCTGCGCCATTCAGCAGTGGGCCCATGTTTTCCCTGGCCTTCCTTTTGCTGCTAAGGTAACTTGTAGAAGCCTTTCTTGTAGCCCTCCACGTCCCTCCTCTGGGACAGAGCCCAGCTGGGCTTTGGTTTTCCTAACCTCATCCCTGCACACTCAGTCTCTCTGCAATCCTCCTGGGTCACCTATACCTTCCTCCTCCTCCTTATGTTGGAGTTTAGGCAGGAGCTCCTTGTTCATCTGTGCAGGTCACTTGCTGCTTTTGCTTGATTACCCGCTCATCAGGATGGACCATTCTTGAGCTTGGAGGAGATGATCCTTGAATACTTTCTCTACAGGGCTTCCAAGGATTCTTCCAAGCAGATCCTTGAAGAGGTCAAAGTCTGCTCTTCTGAAGTCCAGGGTTGTGATCCTGCTTTTTGCCCTGCTCCCTCCTTGTAGGATCCTGAACCCTACCATCTTGAGGTCACTGCAGCCAGTGTTGCCCCTGACTTTCACATCCCTGTCAGTCCTTCCTTGTTTGTAAGTATGAGGTCCAACAGGGCACTTCTCCTCCTTGGGCTCCTCGAACACCTGTGTTAGGAAGTTGTCACCAGCACACTCCAGAAATTTTCTGGATTGCTTGTGCCCTGCTATGTTGTCCCTCCAGCAGATATCAGGGTGGCTAAGGTTCCCCCATAAGGACTGTGACCTGCAAATGCGAAGCTTCTTCCAGCTATCTGCAGAAGGCCTCATCTACTTCTTCCTGATCAGGCAGTCTGTAGCAGACGTCCACTAAAATGTCACCCATGCCAGTGTGCCTGCTAACGCTGACCCATATGCTCAAAGCTAACTCTTCACCTATCCCCAGGCCAAGCTCCATGCGTTCCAGTTGCCCTCTCATGTAAAGGGTAACTGCCCCTACTTGCCTTCCTGGCCGGTCCTTCCTAAAGAGCCTGCATCCATCCGTCGCAGCACATCCGTCACAGTCGTGTGAGCTATCCCACCATGTCTCCATGCTCTCAATGAGCTTGTAGTGCTGTAACTGCACACAGCCTTCTAATTCCTGCTATTTGTTCCCCATGCTGCATGCATTAGTGAACAGTACTTGAGAGGCACCCAGGCATGCTGATTTCCCAGAAAGGGTACGAGAGTTTTTCCCATAATGTTGTCCTGTAGGCACTTCCTTGTTTACGTGTGTATGCTCGGGGTGATTTCACTTCAGCCCCGTTTTGTTGATTACAAGGTCCCTTCTGTTCGTTTGACCCCAGACCTTCTGCTTGCCAACCCCATCCGCCACTCCCTCACTTGATTGTTGGTCATTCTCTCTCACCCCCATCATTCCTAGTTTATATCTCTTTTTTTACTAGACTGGCCAGCCTGTTGCCAAAGATATTTTTGCCCCACTTAGTCAGGTGGATCCCGACTCTTCCACGAAGTCGTTGGTCAAAAGAGGGTCCCATGGAGAAGAGATGATAATTTGAACCTGGAATATAAATGCTGCAGCATATTGAGAAGAATCAAGAAGTCACCATACCTTATTTGGATAGTCCCTTCATGGATACAGCAAACAATAATGGTGCTAGCACTTACAGAGTACTGATAAGCTAAAAAATTTTAAAGAGTGTGGTAAAAAATGATTTTGAGTCAAGGTAAACTCATTGTACTGCAATAAATTTTGAAGAGCATGTTAAGCTTCATCTTGAAGAGGAAGTCTGAGATGGTTTGATTCCTGATTTATAAACACCCACTTAAAAAGTAGATGACTAAAACACAAGGTCCAGTGACTGGAACCTGAAATGGGGCACATTTAGGTTAAAAATGAGGATTTTTAATGGTGGATAATGAGTGGAGCAATTGTAACAATTTATTTTAATTCCATCTTACATCTTCAGGGCTAAATCTTTTAAATTGAGGGGTGTTTTTTTCCCTAAAATAAAGTTCTAGCTTAGCCAGAAACTGTGGTTTTATTGCAGAAAATAACAATCCAGAATCTCTGGAGGAAGTGGGATAAGAAGATCAGAAAATGTCTCTTCTGTTCTGAATATACTAAACCTGATGTTTTGGGAGAAGTTACTCCCATTTATTCAGGTTAGCCCCTGAATCCTTCCTACTGTATGTTGCAGTTCTAAAAATGTCTTTTATTTAAACATGCTATTTGAGTTGGTTTATCAAAGTTTGAGAGTCTTACGCTGATGAGATCTAAAGAGAAGGGGAAATTGTTTTTCTTGTCTTTCTTTTTAGAAGTCATCCTTCTGCAGGATTCTCATGTGCTTTGCTCCCAGCTGTATTTGGAAGAGAAATGTGTTTAAGTAGAGTTCTTTTATATCTTTCAATAATTGTAAATAGGATTTTTTTTTGTTTTGGGGGGTCTAGATTTTTTTTGTGCAGTATTCCTGATTTTGTTTCTTGTCACTGTTTCCTCCTGCTATTCTTTGAATCATGGATGGAAAATGATCACTTTGGATTGTATGGGTTATACCCGTTGCTTTTGCTCTCCGCTTCCCCTCTGCAATGTAATTCTTCAAAGTGCTACAGTTTTGACAAGCGGGAAGTACAGAGCCCAAGGATATGTGTTTGCCAGACCTTTTTGGAGGAGCAGAACAACCAGTATGTCAGTGCTCCTTAACACTCTTAACTGCAATAAGACATAATAAATCTTTCTTGCCTTCTCGAACTTTCTTGTATGTTTCGACAGGAGACTGGAGCCCACGGAAAAACCCCTTCAGATTGTGTATGACTACTTGGCTGGCTTGGGTTTTGAGGATCCTGCCAGAATGCAGGAAGAGGCAGCAAACTCTGATCTCAGCTGTATGATTCGCTTTTACAGTGGTAAGAACTTGTATACGCGCATGCCGTCAATCTTCCTATAGCTTTAGCTGTGAGATGAAAGTCAGCTGAAGCACAAGTCCTTGACTATTGGGTTTATAGGTGGCTGCTTCAAACATACAAGATATCAGTAGGCCTTTCTTAAAATAATTTTCAAAATTAATTAGAAAAAGCATAATGAATTTTGTAGTTCTCTTGACTGTATCTGTGTGCCTTGGAGAAAAGACAACTCCATAGGAAGCCACGAGATTGCTCTGTTGTCTTTATTTTTTGATGTTACGACAAACAGCTCAGAGCTCCAAACGGGATCAGAACAGGGGACAGAATGTGTGAGATTGGCTGAGAGAATGGTGTAGGAGTGGGGGGCTTTCTCTCAAAAAAGATGCTGAGAAGACAGAGGCCCGTGACTCAGACTGGATGGGCAAGCTCAGAGCTCGAATGTTGTGGGATCTTTACGTGCCTCAACAGCATACCAAATGGAAGAAGCTCTCTAGAGCCCAAACTGCCCATTTGTGTCAGATGTGACAGATGGGAATCTTAGCGGGTCACAGACTTTCTCTGATGGGGAATTGTCTTTATTCCTGCTATGGCTATAGGTGGACTTGTATAAAGTGTAGGCTGCTGTTGGAGGTGCTAGCTCTGCCTGTTGATGCCTGCCTGTCCTTACTGCATGGGAGTGTGTGTGCTTGCTAATGGGAGTATGGAGTTAAGCATGGTCACAGTGATTTTCAAGTCCACGCTTAGAGCTGGAAAGCGCGAG